TCCTCTGGTTTTTCCGCAAGTCATAAGGCACCAATGCAAATGAAATCTTTAAGTCCCTGTAATATTTCTGAGCAACACCTTACACCAGCTAACTGAAGTCAAATATCCCTATAAAAAATTGCCTTCAATTACGAATACACATGTAATATGGGTGTTTTATGTGCACTTTGTGGCAGTTGATTCAGTCGGGCCATAATGACAGGAAATTCTCTGAGAGGAAGAGAGAGACACTTCCTGGGTATTTCTTTTTTTCTTGTTTTCTTTCTCTACCTCCCTCTCTTGCCCACTCTTTCTCTCCCTCTCTCTCTTTAAGTCTCTTGTATTCCCTCCCTCTCTCCCCCTCTCTCTCTCTCTTCTATATTACCTAGTCTCCTTGTTCCTATATCTCTACTCACTTGTCTGTCTCTCTCTCCCTATTTCTAATTTTTTTTATCAAGCTCTCTCTTTCTCTGATCCCGTCTCCTCATTGCTTTAATGAACTTCAATTGTTTGTTCTCTCTAAACATAATGCAGGAAAGTGTGGTAGACATTTATGTAAACTGTAATGTGACCTTTTAAGTGCATATGATCATATTCCCAAACTAACAAGGATGAACTTTAGAAAATGCAACGAAAATGTGGGTTATCTTTCGGAACAGACCACAAATTAGAGCCATTAAAAAAAAATCCCCACATACAGTTTGATACACCAATTTTTACATGTATCTAGTAGACTATCTAGTGTATCGTCAGGAAGTTGAAACAAATTGGGCTGCAGACCTAGGACACTTATATTTAAAAAAATGTACAGTCCCATTCACACTTATCAGCGTTATAGAATTCCGAACCAGACTACTTGCTAATAAAATATTCCAAGCAATGAAATATTTCTTTGAATAAATGCATTCTCTTTCCCCAGAGGTATGCAATGTTTATTTTATCAGCCAAACTCCCATGACAGTTCACAAGCAGTTGGTTTTCAGCCTGATTGATCGGCCATGGATTCCACACCAAGGAGAAGATGTCCAGCAAGTACATACTGCCTTGATCAAAACTGGTCCCAACTTTACTGACCAATAGTGGCTCATTTTGATACTTTTGATTCCATATTGAAAGTACTATTATTTTTGTAATTTCTAAAAGGGCCTCTATCCATCCCTACTCATCCCAAACACCTTCGTAATGGAAACCCCAACAAATTACTTTCAAAACTCCACCCTAAAAGTTTATAGGCGGTATGGTAATAAATTCAGTACATGACTGACAATGTCGTTACATTTTAAGTTTACATCTCTGGCATTTAACACAATATCTCATTTCCTAGATATATCTCAAATAATTAGATGGCAGAAGAAAACTCTCACAACAAATTTCTGAGTCCTGTCTGGAACACAGCATTTTTTAAACTCAAATTGCAGTTCTGATTTAAAGTCCACTACAAATCTGAAAATGTTATCCCCCTCTCTTGTCTCAGATGCCCAATGATTGACAGATCCCTAGAGAAGAGATCTTTAGCACCAAGAAAAAAAGAAGTTGTGAGTGACAAAGCGTTGGGACAATAGTTGACAGGCACGTACAACAAGATGGACAGGGGCGAATTATTGTGTAACGTAAGAACAAGAAATGGGGAGAAAGAGAGAGGAAAAAGAAGAGGAAGAGATTAGCAGGACAAGAAAATGACTCAAACTAGATGGAATTCGACTGCGCGCAGTCGAAAATGATGCCTCCGTCATAGAGCAATTTTACAAACCGAAACGGAAGAAATTTTTCAAATTCAAGTTCAATTGTAATCCATTAACATGTTCTCAGAATATCGTGATTACAAGCAATTTCTCATAAACATATATGACCCTTTGATCTTTGACCTCATGACCCTAAAATCTACTCAGTTCATTGGCTCTGCAAGATTTCCTGAGTTACATAGTAATCCATCTGTCAGTTCTAATGAGAATGCGTCCACAAGCTATTTTTGCATACATAATGAGCCCATGACCTTTGATCTTATGAACCATTCATTGGCTCTGCAAGATACATAAATGATCTAAGTTTGGCAGGAATCCATCAATCTGTTCTAATGATAATACGATCACAAGCTATTTTTGCATACATAATGAGCCGCATGACCTTGACCTTTACCTCATGACCCCAAAATCTAATCAGTTCATCAGCTCTGCAAGTAACATACATGACCTAAGTTTGGCAGGAATCCATCAATCGGTTCTTGAGATAAGGCGATCACGAGCTGTTTTTGCATACACAATGTGCGCCGTGACCTTTGACCTCGTGACCCCAAAATCTAATCAGTTCATTGGCTTTGCAAGATACATACATGACCAAAGTTTGGCAGGAATCCATCAATCGGTTCTTCAGATAACGCGATCACAAGCTGTTTTTGCATACATAATGAGCCCTGTGACCTTTGACCTCGTGACCCCAAAATCTAATCAGTTCATCAGCTCTGCAAGATACATACATGACCAAAGTTTGGCAGGAATCCATCAATCGGTTGTTCAGATAACGCGATCACAAGCTGTTTTTGCATACATAATGAGCCCTGTGACCTTTGACCTTTGACCTCGTGACCCAAAATGTAATCAGATTGTTTTCCTATAGTGATACACACTATCACTAAGTTTGAAGTTTAAATTTCCAGTGGTTCTTGAGATATCATGATAACAATCTCAATGTATGGAATTTCATAAGTTGACCTCTGTGACCCTTGACCTTTGACATACGTGCTCCAAAATCTAATCAGATCGTCTTCCTATGGTGATACATACTATCCTTAAGTTTGAAGTTTAAATCTCAAATGGTTCTTGAGATATCGCGCTAACAAACTCAATACAAGGAATTTCATAAGTTGACCTCTGTGACCTGTGACCTTTGACCTACGTACTCCAAAATCTAATCAGATCGTCTTCCTATGGTGATAAATACTATTCCCGAGTCTTAAGTTTCAATCTTAAATGGTTCTTGAGATATTGTGATAACGGTCAAACGGGACGGACGGACGGACGTACGGACGGACGGACGGACGTACGGACGTACGGACGTACGGACGGACAACCCGAAAACATGATGCCTCCGGCACCACCTTCGGTGGCGGAGGCATAACAATACTCTCAGCAAAATGATAACCTTCACAGAACCTTCATGGATTTGTTATGTGTCTGAGGAGTCAAGATGGAGAAAAGCAACCTCTCTAGACTAATGTAGGAAAACATACAAAAGGTTATCATTTTGTGTCTCCACAGACTTTCTGATTTATGTAGATCTAGATATTTTCAAAAAGGTATGAATTTATCTTAAAATGTCTTAAACACTTCCAAGATTGATCATTTATCACATTAGAATGTACTTCAACCAACATAGCACCTGTATAGAGGTGTAGTGGTCGAGTGGATATGTCACCAGACTGTGGATCACAAGGTCTGTGGTTCGAGTCCCGCCACGGCACTAACATCCTTTGGCAAAACATTAATCTACAATTGCCACACTCGACTCGACCCAGGTGAGGTGAATAGGTACCTGGCAGGAATTATTTCCTTGAAATGCTAGAGCGCCGTAATGGCAGCCATGCTAAAGCCAAGGTACATGTAATACTTTCCAAAGCTCTTTGGAAGCGCAGAGAAAATTGAATGTAATATGCGCTATACAAGAACCCAATATTATTATAATAATTTGAAAGAGTTTATCTATGATCTCCAGGTATAATTCTTGTTTTAGTCGAGCAAAATTATACTGAATACAAAATGTCACCTTCCATATATGACCTGCAAAACCCTTCATCCATTATGAGATATTGATGGACTTCAGTCACAGAAAGGATATAGTTTTGCTTTTGCAATTTCAAAGTGTACTTTGTCATGTGCCAGTTGACACACTGAGGAATGTTGAATTTAAGTTCTTTCAAGGAAAATGATAACTTTTATCAGCTACAAAGGGGGCTCCTTCTTCCATCCTGGTTCAAGATTAAAGATTGAAATGGAATTTCCCCACAGGTGGCATTTGTTTCAATTTCTATTCTAGGATACCAATATGAAGTGTCGCAGCTGAAAGATAAAAATACTCCCTGGAGCTGTTAATTGTCAACGTAACATGAAAGAAACATTGAGTATGTGACTATGTGGACTTGCTAAGTGTTGTTAGGACATTTTTTTAAAGGCAGGGTATTCTACTGACTCTAATTGAGATTTATGTACTGCCATCTGCTGCTCACAATGTCCAGATGTGTCTACAGCAATGTCCCACAATGCATCACCAACCAACTGCATGACGTGCACATGATGATACTTGGGTACAGGAACTGGAAATCGCCCCATGTACGCCTCCACCGAAAGATGGTGCAATTGAAAATAATTAACAGCAGTGGTAGCAATGTCGGTAAAAAAAAAACTGCCTTTAAAATATTCTGATGGAGCCTTGTATAAAGAAGATTTCTAAATCTAGGACAATAAAAACCACATATTGAAGACTACATTTACATGTTTGTAAGTAAATACTACATGAATACAGGAACCGACACAAGGAAGTGTCTTATGAAAAATGTTCAAGACATTAGATATGACTTTCCCACTGAAGACTGTGAAATTCAATTATTCAAGTGGTAAAATAAACAGTTTTCCCTCTTAAAACTGGTAACACTTGCATTTTGCTTGTCAGGCTCTTTTTATAATATACAAAATTAAAAAAGAAAGTTTAAGGCATTGCCAATTTAGATGGATAAACAATGGTAATTCACTTAACAAAGAATTGCCAATTTGAAGATTTTAAAAGCTTATTTTCAATTTATTTATTATTTCTTCTTTAAATCCTGGTATTTGACATCAGGGAATAAAAGAATGTCCTCCTCCCCCCACCCCTCAAAAAAAAAAAAAAAATATATATATATATATATATATATATATCTTGAGTCAATGTGGACGATATTCCTGACTTTATTGTACATTGTATCACCATGAGACAGGCACATAAAGGTGAGGTGTAATACTTCAAAGTGAGTGAGGTCATAGGTTACTTACTGGCATGTCACCTCTCCATCTTCTGTGTCTGGAGGAATACAGCTTCCGCCATTGCATGGGTTGGGACTACACGTACTGGTACCTGAGTGGGTGAAACAAAAGGATGTAATAATGAAGCATAATAATATCTGATTAAAAAATCTTACACATATTTATTACTCAACAGTCAGCTATAAAATTGACTTGGAAATATCTTTACAACTAAATACTTTTCATTTTACACTCACTGACAAGAATTATGGTTCGTCAAATTTACTTCATGAAATGATGGTATGACACAGCTTGAAATGGAGGGACAGTCGTGTAAATATATTCCAAGAGAGAACTTGGATTACACAGTTATTAAGAAGTTTTAAGAACAAAAGACAAAGCAACATTAATGCACACTCGAGTATAGAAAATCATGCTTTGTATTGTGCTTAAGTGATCTCTATTCAAATCAAATGTGCTTGAAAAAAGTCTAAAATCATTCAACTACTTCCAAAAGTGACTAAGATGAAACATGATCTATAGGTAATACTTCCTTCTTCCTACATGTAGTTTATTTTCAGCAAAGAATAACTTCAACATTAAATACAAGAATGATAACATAGAAAGGGACAAAGAATGTACACATACATGTAGTCTGTATACTGTAGATACAGATCAAAATCCATATCAGATTGTTTTTCAGGGGAATTTATTTTCCACTGCTTGATGTACATGTACATTATTTAATAATGTTAGATCTACAGCTGGACAGAGTTCTGTTCCAGCACAGTTTCGTTTGGTAGTACCCTGTTGCGCTATGCCCCCTTAAAATAACCAAAGAGACCTCAGTGCCTCCCCACCCAGCAGGGGGAGGTCCACACAAAAGGTACTCTAGGTCAAAAGACCGTCAATACCAGAGCTCTCAGTCAAATCAATTGCTCAAATTATTTCCAAAGTTAAAAAAAGTTATAACGGTAAAAACGGAAAAAGTCCATCCCTTTGACTTAGATAATACAGCCTTACAATAACATGTAAATGTATAACATGTAAATGTATAGCATGTAAAGAAGTGTGACTGACTTATGAAACTCAGTTTTGATTAAAAGAAAATCGACTAGCACAGCTGGAAAACCTTTCCTGCTAACACGCATTCCCTAGAGTGGGACTGCACAAAGATTGACAATCTTCCCCTAATCACCTCAGGTGGAATTGGAAACCAATCATATTCCTTTGTGGCAAAATCACTGTAAAGTTATGATATTACAGTATTTCTCTTGGCAAAACACTTCAAAATTTATACAAATATACACGTTACAACCATAAGTGATGATTAAAGTTTATCATGCTATAAAAATGTGAACAAAGACAAACTCTTGGGATATATTTGAGCTATTTCCTTCCGTGGGAGTTTTCCGTTGTTAAACAGGATGCTCAAGAAGGAAACAACGAATGTCCAAAACTAGAAATACTCGGTTAGAACAAATATCACCACATCAGAACCTGAGAGTCCAACAAATTGTTTTAAAAACCTAAATTTATTCTACTTCATAAAGAAAACAACATGTGCTTCCTCAATGCAATGTGTCTCATAAACTTACATACACATGCTCATGTTCAAGTATCTTTTGTATTCAAATAAATGCAACTAAAATAAATGCAACTCAAATAAATGCTGACGGAAGAATTATATAAGTAAAAAAAGTTCTCTACAGAACAACAAGTAATTGATAACAATATAAGTGAGAAAAGACCAATACATTTTTGTAAACACGCTCCAAGTTTGCATTCTTAGCACATATTTTTCACTTGTCATCTTCAGATTTCTTCTTGCCCTTTTGATCAATTCAAATACAAATAGTTTTTTAAGGTCAACTGAACAATTAGTTGTTTCCCACCTTGCTCTTTCTATTTCAAATAGAACAACAGTGAGCCACTCCGCAGGACGACGTCAGGTTGGCGGCAAGAGACACAGGTCACGTTCCGCAAAGTTTGTTCAAAAACTTTTCAGACCTTTCTAGCTGAGATTCGAGGTGAGACTTGACCTTGCTCAGTTGCTCACGTTATGATTTAAACTACCTGAGTTGTGCATGAAATCCTAGAGTAGAACCTGTGCATAAAGACTGCTCATAAATGTAGCTGACAGAAAAAGCAGTCGCACAGGTGGACTTACTCTGTAAGTACAGGTTCCTCTAATGTACATGTACGTTTTAATAAGAAAAGGGGTTCTTTAGTCGCTATAGCTAGTTTAAGTTGACTGTTAATTTGTACTTGACATATATTGTTCTATGTTCTAATTGTATATGTTTCACACAGATAATTCCTGACAATTAATGGACATTAATGAAATGATTTATAATTTCAACTGATTGAGGGAACTGAACCTCACCACAAACCTACTGGAGAACCAAGACTACTCTCTCTCCAAACTTTTGTTGTTGACAATATGCCAGTACAGACCAAATGAAAGAGAACTGTGAAAAAACACATTGGTAATATTATTCTGCTCCTTTACTTCTTCAGAGAGGTTTGGTGAGTATGGCATGAGCCTCGTTACGTGAAGAATGCAAACCTGACACCCTTGAGCACGTTAACAATGGGCTTGTACTTGAAACCCTTTCATGAAGAGCTGAAGATGGACAAAAGAGAGCGGGAGAGAGAGAGAGAGAGAGAGAGATAGAGAAGAGAGAAGAGATAGAGAAGAGAGAAGAGAGAGAGAGAGAGAGAGAGAGAAAGAGAGGAAGAATAATAGATGTTATGACGACAATGGAACAAGTTGGAAGGCAAATAACAAGTTTAGGAGATGGCCTATATTCAAACTTCACAAGTTATCTTCATTTTCCCCCGTCTTCATTTCCCTGTCTTCCATTTTTCCCACCTTCACCGCATGCCTAGTACATGTACATAATTGTCTTCAAAATTCAAATCCGATTAAGATCTTTGAGGGATTTTGTATTGTAAATAACAGTATACGGGCCTACTTCTAGATGGACACATATATTTCAGTCTCTTGTTGATGTTTGAATGTTATTTTTTAAATCCTATCCTCCTCATGTATATATTATATACCACACGTTTTAAAGAGGGAAGTTTCAGGGTAGTTGATGGATAACATTACACAAAAGTGTGATAACTTCTAATGTATCTAGAATGTGATTTTTGTAAGATTATAACTCAAGTAATTTGAAACTCCCAATACAGACCACCCACTGACTGCAATAGCTACAATGTAGGCTTACATCCACATGTACATGTACTAAATTTAGAAGTGACATGGTTTATTCTTGAGGAGCATGGACCAGAACTCCAGCATATGAACAGGTCCAGGACCAAGCCATGATCTCTGGTTGCAGGAGACAAGGATGGCACAAGCGTGACAAAGCATGGACCACTAATTGGCCCCACAGCTCACCGAACTTGTTTCACACACACGTCATAATGGAACACCAAGATAAACATCACCAAATACCACTCTCACAAAGGACAGAGGTGTGAAAATTGTTCTTCGTTTTATAAACTGGAGTCCTTCTTTTGTAATGGTTGCACAATTAAGTCTTGTGCCTTCTACTGCTAGCGTCATGCCGATCAAAGGCCCATCTTGTAAACTATTAAGAAAGCCTTCTCTAGACTTCATTTTCTACACAAATGGAGATTCATTTATAAAACTAGATGATAGAGTTTACAGCTTATAGTATAGACGTCTAGCCAGCCACACATGTACTGTACATGTAGTGTAATACTATAATTACATAAGTATTCAATTAAGTAAGACACTAACTCACTATTAAAGTATTAGAGGAACATATCACATTGTAAATCATCCCAAGAAGAAGGAACCATTTCTAAATAAAGGATACTCAAACTGAAAATACTACAACAATTTTGATTTCGTTGGCACAGAACAAGACAACACTGTAAATCCTTCCGGATAACTAATTTGAAGTTTGTCTACCTCATTGCATATACCGGTATATGTGCATCCAAGTTGGCTACAATGTACATAGTACAAGTATCCTGTAAGTAAACTAAGTATCCTGCTTCTATTGGGCAGATTGCTTTTAAAAACACCTAAAACCCTGCGAAGGACAGGTCATCATCACATTCAGCAATGATTACAGATTAACACCCATTATTTTTTTTGTGGACTTTTAATTCTGCTGACATTTTTAGGAAAACGATCAGCCGACTGCATGCCTACATGTAGATGGGTTAGCTGCCAGAAAGGTACCAAATTTGTGTAAGGCTCCACACTTGCTTTTTCCACAGGGGGGTATATGAAAACTTATGATTAAAATTTGAGGGTCTGAATGCACAAGCCGTGTTTAAATTTCAAAATGTTGGATGTCCCCAGTTAAAAATTGGGGGGGGGGGGGCATCTATGTACATGTATAGGTCTAGAACTTATTGGATGAATTGAGCAGCTTTTTTCCCCTTTAATACCAAACTTCATGCATGTATGGCCTATAAAAATCAGAAATTTCCTACAACATTTCTTTTTCAATCATGCATGCACCCTTATCAAATCAGTATTATCTCTTAAATTGTGTTAATCTGAACTCAGTCAACTCATTATAAACTCTCTCTCCCTCTCTCTTATACACCTGAATAAAGTTAGTCACAATTAATCAGTTTTCACACCTCTGCGAGCAAGAGAATCAACATCTGGCAACCAAAAACAAAAGAATTGGACCAGGCTCCTTTCTGACTACACATGCAAGGCATGCGGCCATGCAAATGTAGCTTCCACCATTGTCGCAAATTGATTTCGCGGAAAGCGTAGGCATGCCAGCTGCGAAGGCAAAAGTTCATCATCAAACCATTGAAAATCAAAATAATAACTTACAATGTATTTACTTTACAAATTTGGCAATGACGTGCATTAAATAGCGAAACTGCTACTTACCTTTAAAACTTTAGTTGAATGTACCGGTAGACCAACTAGGCCTAGACTGTACAGTACATGTACAGTATGTTATGGTACTTTTTTAAATGCATGAATTCTATTAAAAATCATCTACCATTTATGTACAAGCTCCAACACAATACATAATGTCAACCTTGTTACAATGTTTTGCAGGCAATGGCTAAAAACAGGTAATTCAAAATATGTAGAGTAGGCCTCCATGAAAAACTTTGAAAAACATATGTTGAAATCAAGAAGACAAAAATTTCGCAATAGCAATTTAAGTAAGAAGCTATGACATGAGCAATATTACCTGTTTGATTCACAAAATGACTATTGCATATTAAATTGCATATTGATATAGAAATTAACAATCCCTTTCTAAAGAGATCATTCTCAAAGTAAATCATACATGTATTTCCTTAAGGGAAAGCTCTAAGGGAAATTTGGCTTTCTTTTCCTGAAAATTCCATTAATGATTACTGTTTACTTCTTGCACTTCACTCATCTATATTACCTAATCTATATGTATGAGGCTGTTTCCAAGGGACCTTTTCAAAACCACCACTTAGACCAAAATAATTCCCCTCTACAAAATGGAAATAAACAATCCTGTTTCATCACATAATAAATCATTATCATCCAATCAAACCAACTAAACAGTATTGAGTATAAACTAAAAGTAAAAATAAATGTTCATATCTCATATCCCATAAGCTTTCTTTTATGTATATTCTGATTTTAAGAGTACACAAAGTACTGAAAGTGGCAGATAAAATGTATAAAGATTGTATATAATAAATACATGTACAGTACATGAAGGCCTACAGTACTTGAAGAAGAACAATGATTCTGACATTAAAATGTATTTCACTTTTCCTTTCAGTCCGTCAACTCTATCTCGATTCAACAATGTGGCTCTATGAAATTTCAACATTTATTAGGCAAAATAACAAAAATAACATGTTTCTAGTCCGGACTTTTAAAAAAAGGGGGATTGGGTAACTTTGTTTCAGATTCTGAAACAAAATCCTGGATTTAGCTCCAAGATGGCTGCCATGCTAAATATAGCTGGCCAAGCCTATTTAGTCACAAATATTGTGCTCTAGATGTGAGTGTACTGATGCATTGTCTGACAAAACAGATAATTTGAATCACTTTAGAAGCTATTTTAAACAAAATGTTTATCATAAGCCTTTTTTTTTTTTGCTGGGCGGGCGGGACAAGAAACACTTTTTTGTTGTTATTTAGCCTTAGGCTTACATATTTGTTTTTACCTGTGCCTGACTAAAAGTACCTGTACTGTACAAGCAAAACATCATTTTGAGTGTACCCCATTTTTTCCTATCATAAATTGTATTAAATTCTTCAAATTTATTTTAGTTCAACACTCATTCAACCATGATGTAACTGTACATGTACTTACATGTACATACATGTATGTACAATAATTATCACATATCGTATGTCAAGTTTGTTTATAATTACATGGTGTATGTACAGTGTAAGTTGCAATTTTAGCCTACATCAAAAAATAAATTGAAAAATTATTGATCAATTATAAATCTTGAAAAGCACATGTTACTGAATCATATCAAAAACATGCATACCGTATGGGAAGTTCCTTGTTTATGGGTGTACACTTTTAGGTGAAGGCGTACATGTACATGGAGATATTTCCAGTTCCTGTACCCAAGCATCAACACACATGTGGGACTTGGCTGTCGGCACATATCAGGGAACGCATATCATTCCAATAAGATTGACTTCACAAAGTCCATACTATTAAAGAAGGATCCAGTTTACACTTTTCTCCTAAGTCTTAACACACTTCCTAAACCAATTTGGCATAGTCCAATTATCAGTATGCCAAAGCAATGTGCTTTGTTTACGATCACAATCTTTTAATACATCCCCTTCAGTGGACAGCAGACCTGGTCTTGATTCCAGTGCTAGATAAGACTAAGAAGCCCATCTTCTTATCTCAATGGTCAACTCATCACCAAACAACGACCAGCTGAACTTAAAACAAATCACAAGAGATAACTTGTCTTTTGAACACAGCCTCCGATTTAATTTGGAAACATGCTGGCCAGGCCATTACTGTTTAGATAAATTAGATTATCCATTTAATAATTACGATACCTGTATATACTATAACTGCTGAGAGAGACAGAAGGGCGTTGGCTCATATACTGGTATAGGGACCTACATTTGCAAAGCCCTTCTGGCACTGACTATAAGCTGATAATGTGTTTGTGCTTCATTTTACAGACTGCACATGTACATACATGCATACTGCTATGGTACATTTAACTTACAGCAGAAAACTTTTCCCACAACAATTAGTGCAATTACAAACGATTAGCATTGAATTACAATAGTACATTTTTAAAGTAATTAGATTGCTGTGGAACAAGAACAACACACCAAATAATTTCCACTGAGGAAAACTTATTCTAGCCAAGACTAAGACCTGAAAAGTTTCTTTTTTAACAATTGAAATATTTTGCTCTATACTAAACAAGAATTTTGGCCCATTTGTTCTTGTAAGTTATATTTCAAATAAAATTGTATTATACATACTTTACTTACTTACAAAAAACGTTACTTAAAACTGGCAAAAACTAGAAATTAATAGACACTGAAAAAATAAATGCTTTTAATATTAAAGATAAAGACCAGTATTGGAAATGCCCCAATTTCAAAAAATGAAATGGAAGCTCTCATTACCAATCATGTGAAAGAATATGTTTTGACTAATACATGATGATACAAAATTTGCCGGGAAACCGCCTACTAATTCATATATTTGGTAAATTTGTTTCTCTCATGGTCTGTGAGAGATATAGGGTAGTCCCATATACATCTTTCTGTGTATAGTGCTTGTAACTTTACGAAGAATGGGCCAAATCTCTTATCATTTTGATGATTCCAGAACCTTGCAGATGCTAGAAGCTAGATGATCAACCTTTTCTGATCGATTCCACAACGTTTCTTTCACAATGCAATCGCATGACCATAACTGGTCTTTACCTTTAAAGAAATAACAGAATATCTCGAACTGCACAGGATATTTAAACAAAAACATATAAATATAATAATATAGGCCAACATGTAGCCAAAATATAAACCAAATTGTTCACTGCTTTCTTACAAGAAGATAGACCTGGAAGCTCGACTGCTGTCTCAGCATTCTTACAGTATTTGCGGTAAAGGTAAAGGTAATGTACATGTATGTCTATCAAAGTTTGTCTAAGTAAATAATGTGTAATTGCTTTTAGGCCTTAAAAACATAGATGTACATCAAACATGTATGGTGAAAGCTACTATTTCATTAAGTATCAAATGCAAAGTAGCTCATTTAACCTTTTAAAGTCCAAAGTTCATGGAGAGTTCACATTTCAGAATCAAATGAAATATAAAACATAAATATTGAAGATACAATACACATGTACATGCAGATACAAATTACCATGTACTAGTATTATAGTATACAGCTATGGGCATTATACATCACAAAGGCCTCCTTAGAGTCTTAACCTACATGTATGTATACGGTAACTGTAATGTAGCCATTGATCTCAAACATCATATTATCAGTGCATATAATATATGCCTCATTTTCTGTATAACCAAACATATTCACACAACTGGCCACATGGTTCAAGTTTTTATATTCAGTGAAGTTTCAAACTCATCATACACTTAATAGGAAGCATATACATTACGGCCAATCTAAGAACTATTGGTAATAACTTTAAACGTTAAATTATGCGAGTTATATTTGGAAGTCACCGGCTCCTACCACCAACGTCATAGATCGGAGGGGATTGGGGGCACCTCAATCACCCACCGTGCAAAAAAAAACCATTGCAAAAAGTGTACGACTCGCGCGGACCAACTTACCACTGACACAGTAACTCGTCAAAGTTGCGATCACTACCACCAGAAATAATCCTACTTTGGGAAGATAAAAGAGAGAAATTCCTGGATGGGTAGTCCGCCTCATCTTCGAATTCACAAATTATAGCAATCCAAGAGTCTTGTTGATCATGAGGTAACCATCATTTCATCCAAAAAGGCGATTTTCTGGTCGTGGATATGTCACGTTAGGAGTTTGGTATCTGCTTCCGTAAGCTTATGTTCCGTATACAGTCCAGCAAATTTTTGCTATCTCTATCTAGCTAGTGATGAGGTATACACACGAACGGTACACACACACACAGTCACTTGTTCGCATGAGGCCGGGCCGTTGGCGTGTATTACGTATGGGTCTTTTCTTTTGTGTTCCTAGAGAAAAAAAGTTAGGTCGGCGTGTGGCTGTGTAAAACAGGCGCACGCCATGACAGGGTATTCCTCCGCGCTCAACTTGTTGAACAAAAAAGTTTACGTCGCTGGCATTGTTGCTCCCAAGACCCCTTATTCAAATGCAAATTTTACCATTTTCTCCGCACGCTCTGTCCAGACTACACAAAAGAAGTGGTCAAGCCGATGAAACCAAAGCTCAATAGGGCTACGAGGGAATTACATCCGAATGGTCAAACGGAACATTCATAACAAAAGCAATCGGTTTGGGCTAAAAGATAATGATTTTTTTCTTCTTCTGGTAATGGTTGAAGGAGTGATGCGGTGAGGACATCCACATGCCAAGATATCCCCCGCCGACCCATTCCCTTCTCGAATTACCCTCTGTAAAGTCTTGTACAGTGGTGGTAGAAAGAATGTCAGATTTTGATCAAAAATTTGAAGACGGATTCAAAGGTCGGCCTTGGCGCTGCACATTTTCCATATTTTATGTTTGATGGTAGGGATGGCATGCTTCGGAGTTTATCGGGGTGTTGGGCAACTGCGGGTGTAGGGTGAGATCCCCTAGAGGCAGAAGGCTGCATGAGGGAAGAGGGTCGCGTGTACTGGGGATCAGCAACGCCCTTACCCCCGCTAGTTACCCTCTAATCAGCCATGGGCTAACACGCGCCGGGAGTGAGGCGACAACAGTCATATTTCTTCATCTTGAAATATACCGACTCAACAAATTCATATCGTGAATGGGAGTCTGAGGCTTTGGGTATACGTGGGGACGTCGTTCGTTTTTCCTTCGGCCGCTGTTAACAAGTTTTCCTAACACGTGCAGTGGTTTTTGGTCACATACTGCAACAAGAGAATGAGTAAATCTTGTGACAAATTATGGACTTGCCTAAGGCTATTACCTAAATTCCTCCATTCTCTTCCATATTTCAAAAGCCCCTTATGCCAGTATGTATAGGAATTAAGTCCAAGAACTTGACATTGAAATATTGTTTAGAATGGAAATTCCAATGGTTCGCAATGAATTTTCCGAAATTATTTCGGCTGACTTAGGAGTATCATGAAATGAAGGTCCAAGACTCCAGCCAGGTCAATGTTTCTCGCCATCGTGTACACCGATGTTCAAATTCTTCGTGCTCCCCGATAAAATAGTTGAGAAAAAACCCAACAAAGTTCATACTTTGATGCCTGGGTTTTTCTTCATCAGACGCTGTATTGCGCACCCCATACCCTTTCCACCGGCATGATAAAATGAGAAGGAGAAAAATGTTTTTTTTTAGTGCTTTTGGATATATAGGTATTTTTATGTTCTTTCTAATATAGGCCTACATATCCACGCCCAGTTCATGGTTGTCGAAAATTGCTTCTCCGTGTACCTGCCTCATTCATTATTTAGTAATCCCAATTCATTTCGATTCCGAGATATAGGCCTCTCTTGGGGAATGTCTTCCATTTCACACGCTCATTAATTCCTTCCGGGTTTTGACACCAAAAAGCTACTTGTAAAACAATTGCTGCAAAATGGCGGAAATGGGAGTTAACACAAATTAGCTAGCAATCGACAAAATATGGCACTACGCAGAATTAACTGTAGGGCCTAATTGAAGTTACAACTTTGTATCAAACTGGTAGAAGGCAAGAAAAGAATAAAAAATCATTCAATTCTGGTTAATAGCAGTAAAATTAAAAGTTTAGCATTGATTGATACGATCACGACAGGGAAAAGCTATTATACATTTTGTTGTTGCTTTTTTCTCTCTCTTTTACTCTTTCTTCGCTATCTGGCCTACAGTAGTAAAAGAGAAACAACCATAGAGCTTGCTCTACATGTATGTTAATTATTGACGTGTTCGTGGAATTTTTCGGCACTAATAACACCCTTTTCACTAAATAACTCACGGTGAATGGTAAATTAAAACAAGAAACAGAAAATTTCTTCCATTGATGAATTACATCACAATCGCACTGATCGTCTTAGACAGAAATATTTAATGCGTTAACATTGGGCTATCCAAAAGGACTTTAAAAAAATCATTTGACAAATGATATTTCGCTGAGATATAACTTCAACATCAACATAGTATTGTATCTAAAGTACCTTTTCTCTTTCGTGTGTGTGTGTATTTGTTCCCATCTCCATCTCATTAAGTGCATACAATCACATTTTCTTCTCAATTTTTCTCGCATTTTTAACTCTTTTATAGACCCATCTTTTTTTCCATCATATTTGCCCGTCTTTTGTTCTTCCCAGTCATTGTCCCCTCTATATTTTTCATCCAATATACATTTGGAATATCCGGAAATAACATTATAGATCTACATGCACTGAGGACCAAAATACATAGACTAATAAACCCGTCTTCACCATGCAGGGACGTCATTTTTTTTTTCCATTTGGAGAGGTAAGCAAAAGCAGACCAGGGTGGCGCCCTACAGATTGTTTCAGCACTTCTGGGGAGCTTCTTATCATAATGTACATGTATCCTCTCCATGAAACGTAGGGGCGTTTGGGCACTGGGCAGAGCAAGCCCGTTGCCTTTCAATGATTTCGGAATAGGCAGTGTCGATAGAATTTATCTTTTTTACAAAACTAAAATCTGCCGAATAAGATTACTGTTTCATTTCATGATTACGCCATCATTTTCTCGTTCATTGTTTCAAGAACGGGGTGTATCTGCATTAGTTTGGCCAGGAGGGATTATACCTCACTGCATGGTCACTGACAGGTGGTTATCTCATCAACTCAGCTCTCAACATAAGAAAAAGAGGGGGACTTGTTGTTGTTTTAGTTTATAGGCGTTTGTCATTCAGAAGTGAATATTTACGCCTCTTCTCTTAGGATTTGTATTCCTTTAAAATTAGATTTACTTTTTTTGATATATAGATTTGGATAAATTGGATTTTTAAAAGCTAAACTTTTGTTTAATGTTGAAGAATTCAGTGGCTGGCGAGCAAAAGGCTTATTGGCTATATAGGACGCCCAAGGACCAGCTCGGACACGGTGCGTTGTGACTTGCTTCTCAACTCGGCCTAATGCTGAGCATAGGCCCTCCGACGTCCACCAATATGTCTAGTCGTCTCCACCGCGTTTCTTCAAAATTTTGTCCGAAAACCCCCAAAAATCAGATTATATATATGAAGATTCCAAACGTTAATATAGGCAGTTCTCTCTTCTATTTTTTTTTCTTTTTTTTTTCTTTCTCACTCTTCTTCTTCATGTATTACTCACTATAAAAAGCGAAACATATTGGGCTCAAATAATAATGTGCGGTGCAAGGTGGTTAGTAGGGGTATAGGTGTACCCTTTTAGTTCTAATTACGAAGTTGACCAGAGCCTGTTGGTGATTAATGTCTGTTGATTTCAGGAGTATTGGGATTACTTTTTCGTTTTCTATGCCAGATTCTGTTATAAGCATGGCTCTTTCTATAAGAAAGAGTGGGCATTTGCATAAAAAATGTTTAACGGTTTCTTTTTCGTGCTCACAGTTTGAGCAATGACCGGTCTCATGTTGATTCAACTCAAATAGATTTTCATTTAAACCTAAGTTCCCCATTCTTAGGCGATGAAGAATAGTTTCATGATATCTGTTGTTCAAGTAACATAAAAATATTTTTGATACTAGAGTTTGCGTTTCCCGTAGGGAGATGATGTTTCATTCCATCTTTTTTGCCATATCTCTATGTAGTATTTCTTTATAACATAATTTGATTCTGCTCTGGTAAGAGCGTTGTTGATTTCTATATTTTTATTTAGTCCTGCTTTAGCAAACTTATCTGTTATCTCATTGTGTTGTAGACCACAGTGACTGGGAATCCATTCGAACTTGACCTGGATGCCTTTGTATTTTAGTTGACTACACATGGTTAAAATTTCAAAAATGAAATGGTCACCGCTTAGGCGTTGTATGCTTTATAGAGGGTGCAAGTAACTATAACTAGTGCAGTATACTCTGATTCGTTTATAAAATGTATAACTACTCATTATATAAACGCAAAATAAGAACTTATCATCTGTCTACTTTGTTAACTGTTTACTTCTTCATTATCTACATTCGGCACTTTTAAAATATTTGAAATTGTTTTGAAAAAAGAGTCCGCGGTATATTGTCAATGAAATACAATAGTTATTTATATTCGCTTTTCCTCTAATGTTCTTCTGGTTGTTTCATAATTACGTCTGCATATCTTGTAGTGAGATAAATGTCATCAATCTCATTACGTGTAGGCCTACTATTCTTACCTGTCACCCCATCGCGGTCAAAAATAATTATGGAAATTAATCAACGCAAAAAAAAAAATGCGGTCAGGAAAGAAATCTTATATATATATTTTTTCAAATAGTTTGGATCAGTTTACATCATTTACCAGATGCCATTTTAACATAAATTTGAAAGGTGCGAGTATATAGTTTCTCTCCCTTGTGATTGTTTAGGCCACGCAATTTTTCGATTGATATATAGAGGCAGATTTTAACATGAAAGCTATCCAAAGTGATTATTATGATAAAGGAAATATATATCTCGAACTACCCCCCCCCCTCTCCCCCATGAACCATTTTGACTCATAAAATCATACAATTTCATAAATTAAAGACGAGTCATACTTTTCATGTTTCATATGATTATGATGATGTTCATGTAATATGACGAAACGAAATTTGATTACACATAGTTCCAGTGTTTAATGAAATAGTGATATGTTTTCCTTAAAGAAAATCAAAGCTTTCAAGAAATCAAGTTGAATCGTAGCAGTGATTAAGATTTTTGATTGTCTATCATGAAAACTCGGCATCACTACCACCGCCGTCATTATCACTATAATTATCACCATCAACGTCATCATCATCATCCGCATCAAACGACATCCTCGTCTTCTTCCTCCTCCTCCTCATCATTACAAATCATCACCATGACAGTCGTCGTCACCGTCAAGCCATGATGGATGATGCATTATTATGAATAAAACATTCATG